TACCTTAATTTGAGTTACCAGGGGCCAACCCTCCCCCTGCCCGAAAGTCCCACACACACTGTCCCCCACCCTCATGAGCATAGGCTTCTCCCTATTAATCTTTATCCCCGTTGCCACGACAGATCTCTCCACCAATTCACCCACCTTTCGTAAACCCTTAGACCTCCTGAACAGAACTACATTATCATCTATGTAACTCACGATCCCCGGTTCCACAGACACCCCGCCCCTCACCACTCCATCCCTCACACCCTATCGCACAGCCATATAAAATGGGTCCTGGAGCAATGCAAAAAGAACCTGCGACACAGGGCATCCCTGCCGCAGGCCTCGTTCCGTCCAAACAAGTTCCCCTAGCCTACCATTCACTTGCACCCTCACCATAGCCTGCTCATACAACACCTTAGCCCAACTGACAATTTCCCTCCCCAACCCCTGCCATTCCATAAACTTCCACAACGCCTCACGCTCCACACAGTCATACGCTGCATGCCAATCTAACGCTAATACCCTACCCTCGTCTTCCCCCCCCCCCTTTCATCTAGAAACCTGCGTATGATCCTTTGCCCCCACAGACATCGAATGCCCAGGCATCCCATATTGACCTTCATCCAAAACTCTGTCAAGAACTCTTTTCATCCTATTTCCTAACACTTTAGCAAAGATCTTGTAATCACCACACATTAAGGTAATCGATCGGTAATCATGCACATATTCACAAGACTCCTTTTTAGGGATCATGACCACCACACCCGTTCTCTGCAGTTCCCCCAATCTGCCCATGGTTTTCATCGCATTAAATAAAACCACTAAAAAGTCACGCAAACAGTCCAAATGTTCCTTATAAAAATTGCAAGGGATACAGTCAATACCTGGCGATTTTTCCCACACTCATTCCCTCCACTGCCATCCTAATTTCCTCCTCACTTAAAGGTCCATTCAAGTCCAGCCGATCCTTATGCACTAGATTACAACATACTCATTCACTCATTTCACCTGGCGCCTCACAATTAACCCCCACACTCATACCACGCCTCTCATACCACGCATCCACATAACCCATACCCTCCATTGATGAAAGCACCTGCCCCTGACGATACCCCTCCACTTGCTCCTTAACCCTCAAGCTCATCATTTCCGTTGCCCTGCGACATTTCCCCTGCTCTCGCAAGACGCACGCCGAACGTCGGCCACCATATAAGACCTCTTCAAGTCCTCCAGCAACACGCACCACAGTATCGCCGTCAGCAACAGATGGGTATTGTGGCCATTGAGCGTGCCACTCACCAGTTCCACACAGTGTTGACACTCTTGCGTTCACCTTTCGCCATTATGAAGGTACTGTCACCTGCCACCGCGGGTCAAAAGTGCAGCTCCACGGATGTCCTTTCTACCCGAGGGTTGAGAAACGAAAGATCTAAAGGACTGTTATCAGGTTTACGTCGTAGGTTGTTTCTGTACCGTCTGCAGTCTTCATGGCAAACTGTATCTCCAGCTTCTGACTGACTTACTGTCAGGCTCTACTGTCAAGCTCTACTGTGCATTCTTTAGTGGGATGTTTCCCAGCACACTACACTAAAAATGTAGCATTCCACAGTCAATTACGACATGGCCATAGTGCTGGAGTTTGTAACACCTAATTTGAGGAGGCAGGTACTCTTCGATGGGTAGGAAACGTAGACCAGGTACCCAGATATTGGAGGGAGGGGCACAGGATCTTCCCAACTGACAATAATTTGGGATCTTTAAGTGTTGTAGGCTTGATGATATGTTCACATCGAGTTAGATAGGATGAGTCCATGTATCATAATCTGAAGATTATGATACTAACCCATTTTCTAGAGTGGTGAGTGTCTGATGGAGGGCGGTGCAGCTTCATACCTCCATAAGTTGTATTAAGCAGGACACTGATCACATCATCATTCTGTTCCACAAATACATAGTTGTGAGAGTTATTTCTAAATTGGATCCTTGCCTTAGGATGTTTCTTCACTTCTTCCATTAGCTATGCACACTTATCGGGCAGCAGGGTGTTGTCAGGGAAGTTCTGCTTAACACATTCTTCCTTAGAAGAAAGGTTTGTTGCAACCTGTGTGCACTAAGGACGTTTAATGTCACATTGCCTACGAGTCAAGTGAGCCTGACTACATCGGCGCTCTAGTTCTCTCTCACATTTTCTCCTTTACTTAAATGTCTGAAAGCTATCAACATTTCCATCACATGCGGAATATGTTCCTCTATGACAGTTGCCATGTTTGCCAGTGATGATATCTCACGTAAGACTCACAACACAAGAATTCCTCACTTACCTTTTCCTTATAGCTTATGCAAGAAAAAATATTTAAAGTCTGAATTCTAACAGATCATATGACACAAAGGTTGAAATTTAATGAACACTTCCAGTTAACTTAACTCAGGTTACTACTACTTAATACGATACACACACCACTAAAAATACATTCAGAGACTTCTTGTATGGGTGTTAATAATATGGCAAATATAATGGATGGTATAGACAAGGCTTTACACCTAAGCACAAATTACAAAGATAAAAAGAGAGAAAATAAAAAAATGTTGAGTAAGCTTGATCATAAAATAAGAATTCTGAAATATATCACATTGAACAAATGTGTTCAAATTCAATTAACACTTCCAGTTGACTCGCTTCAGGCTGCTGCCACCTAATATGTTGCCTCACTGAAATAATTATATTGCACACATCACAATGAATGGTGAAGACAGCCTCTTACACCCAAGCACAAATTATAAGGAAAATTACTTTGGAAAAAGAAGAACAAAAAAGCTGAGTATAAAGTGTGAATTCCAACAAAGATGACATTTAACAAAGTGGTTCATACATGAACTTGTATAAAAGAAATTTAATCAGAGAGCCAGCACAATTATATAACCTATTGCACAGCTGCACCTTTGAGGCCGTGCCAATGATATAAAGCAGACATCGGTACTACAGGCACACACAGGTACACACACATACTACAGGTACACACAGATACTACAGGCACACACAGATACTACAGGTACACACAGATACTACAGGTACACACAGATACTACAGGTACACACAGATACTACAGGTACACACAGATACTACAGGTACACACAGATACTACAGGCACACACAGATACTACAGGCACACACAGATACTACAGGTACACACAGATACTACAGGCACACACAGATACTACAGGCACACACAGATACTACAGGTACACACAGATACTACAGGCACACACAGATACTACAGGCACACACAGATACTACAGGTACACACAGATACTACAGGCACACACAGATACTACAGGTACACACAGATACTACAGGCACACACAGATACTACAGGTACACACAGATACTACAGGCACACACAGATACTACAGGTACACACAGATACTACAGGTACACACAGATACTACAGGTACACACAGATACTACAGGTACACACACATACTACAGGCACACACAGATACTACAGGCACACACAGATACTACAGGTACACACAGATACTACAGGTACACACAGATACTACAGGTACACACAGATACTACAGGCACACACAGATACTACAGGTACACACAGATACTACAGGTACACACAGATACTACAGGCACACACAGATACTACAGGTACACACAGATACTACAGGTACACACAGATACTACAGGTACACACAGATACTACAGGTACACACAGATACTACAGGCACACACAGATACTACAGCCACACAGATACTACAGGTACACACAGATATTACAGGCACACACAGATACTACAGGTACACACAGATACTACAGGCACACACAGATACTACAGGCACACACAGATACTACAGGCACACACAGATACTACAGGCACACACAGATACTACAGGTACACACAGATACTACAGGTACACACAGATACTACAGGTACACACAGATACTACAGGTACACACAGATACTACAGGCACACACAGATACTACAGGCACACACAGATACTACAGGCACACACAGATACTACAGGCACACACAGATACTATAGGCACACACAGATACTACAGGTACACACAGATACTACAGGTACACACAGATACTACAGGTACACACAGATACTACAGGCACACACAGATACTACAGGTACACACAGATACTACAGGTACACACAGATACTACAGGCACACACAGATACTACAGGCACACACAGATACTACAGGCACACACAGATACTACAGGCACACACAGATACTACAGGTACACACAGATACTACAGGTACACACAGATACTACAGGCACACACAGATACTACAGGCACACACAGATACTACAGGCACACACAGATACTACAGGCACACACAGGTTCTACAGGCACACACAGATACTACAGGCACACACAAGTTCTACAGGCACACACAGGTACTAGAGTTACATACAGGTACTGCAGGTAAACAGGAATTAATGGGTAATATTCAATGGAATGTTCTCACATACGTCAAGATCTGCAAAGTAAGACGAATTAGGACAAAATGGAGCTTACATGAAATATATGAGTTACTTAACAACAGCAACAATTGTATGTACACAATATATGAGTTACTTAACAACAACAAGGACTGCAAGTATACAATATATGGGTTATTTAACAACAGCAACAATTATACGTGTACAATATATTAGTTACTTAACAACAAGGACTGCAAGTATACAATATATGGGTTACTTAACAACAGCAAGGGTTGTAAGTATACAATATATGGGTTACTTAATAACAGCAAGGATTGTACGTATACAATATATGGGTTACTTAACAACAGCAAGGGTTGTAAGTATACAATATATGGGTTACTTAACAACAGCAATGGTTGTAAGTATACAATATATGAGTTACTTAATAACAGCAAGGATTGTACGTATACAATATATGGGTTACTTAATAACAGCAAGGATAGTAAGTATACAATATGTGGGTTACTTAACAAGAGCAAGGATTGTAAATATACAATATAAGGGTTACTTAAAAAGAGCAGGGATTGTAAGTATACAATATATGGGTTACTTAACAGCAAGGATTGTAAGTATACAATATGTGGGTTACTTAACAAGAGCAAGGATTGTAAATATACAATATAAGGGTTACTTAAAAAGAGCAGGGATTGTAAGTATACAATATATGGGTTACTTAACAGCAAGGATTGTAAGTATACAATATGAGCTTTCTCTTGCACACTAACAGAGGAAGAATAAAAAATAAACATATTTGTAAGTTTAATTTACTTATTGTTTAATAAAAACACTGCGAAATAGCTGTTGAAATGAAAATGGAAATAAGTCACTTTTCCTGACTTAGTTATCTTAGGTAATTCACACAATAATAATAATAATAATAATAATAATAATAATAATATCTTTATTTCCACAAGTACATGTACAAGGTATACAGGTCTAGCTGACATCAATGACATACTCCTACATAGAAAGCCCCTTGTTATGCAGGGCGTTTCGGGCAAATTAGGTCAGTTTTGTCAGAGGATGTGACCCACACCAGCCCACCAACACTCAGGTACCCATTTTACTGATGGGTGAACATAGACAACCGGTGTAAGGAAACAAGCCCAGTGTTTCAACCCTCTCCGGGAATCGAACCCGGACCCTCTTAGTGTGAAGCGAAAGCTTTTGCCACCAGACGACGAGCCACTAAGTATGTATGGTAGTTTGTGTAGCTGTATGTAGATGAACCTGTACCCAAACTCGCTTACACACATGTTATCATGTATGACAATTGTTATCATGTACACCTCTATTGTTATAAACTTATTTACTGTTGGTGAGGCGGCAAGTCCACACATCACACATTACCACCCACTCAGAATACACTGCTGGTAATAATGGCTTAACGTATGTATAAATCATAACGATAGCATCATTAGGTCTCTTCAATGTTCATGATAATAACGGGTGTGGGTAGGGGATCAGCTGTTGTTGTTTACTCCAGCAGGACGACCAACGTCAGCATTCTTCAGCCATAGAGTTGTCAGGAAGTGGAATAGTCTCTGCCTGTCTTCTGGAGGGAACTTGGCAAGTTCCTGAAATTAATTTCTGATCAGCCAGGAAGTGTTGCTAACGTTGGACTTCGTGCTGCTAGCATCATTAGGCTGGTTAATCAGGCTATCAAACAGGAGGCCTGGTCCAGTACCAAGCCACTATGGCGATGACCCCCGAGCCATCAACAGGTCGTCACTGCTGTCGCTGTCCTCTTCGTCTTCCTCTTGCTCCTGCTTCGCCCTTGCAGCCACAGTCGCCACCGCTTCCTCTGTCTTCGGAAGTAACAGGCGAAATCGTGGCGGATGCATGACCCCGCTTTGTGCTCGGAATAGTGGAGGGAATCGGACACTGCCAAAAGTCCGACCTCTCACAAAAGTAGAGTGTGATAACTGTAAGGAATATTAGAGTAACCTGTCAGTGTAAACATTATGAGGAGTTACACATCGATAACTTAGGTGCCAGGTTTGTTATATTTAAGGTGTAAAAAAAGTAAAGAATAATTTTTAACAATGAATTTTATCGTGATCGTGTTATCGTGATTAATAATGTATTACATGATAAAGAAACTCACAAGGACTTTCAACGTGGGACGTATTTCATTAGTGATTCTCTCAACTTTCTCCATGATGGCGGAGCTGGAGTCTTTCAGGAGGACAGGGACAGCTGTGGCACCTATCTCTCTGGTCATGTCCAGAGCCTTCTTGATAGTCTCCTGAACCTGTTATCAACAACTCAGACATTACTGGTGGTCTCCTCTCTAACACACTCTCTTGTTAAATAATCAAGTCTTATATCTTTAAATATCACTCACACCCTCTCTTCTACCCTTCCCAGCATATCTCTTACACTTTCCTTCAACTCTTCCTCCAGTATCCCCTACACCTTTCTTCAATCCTTCCTAGCATATCCCCTATACCTTTAACCAGTCTTAGCGTATCCCCTACATATCCTCCATCCCTTCCTAGGATATAATCTACACCATCCTTCAATCATTCCTAGCATATGCACTACACCTTCAACCTTTCCTGGGATATCACATACACTTACCTTCAACGTTTCATAGCATATCCCCTACACCTTCCTTCCACCCTCGACTTATCAATCTTACTCCATATTTTCTAACTGAACCTCAAATATCTTTCTACTGATTCCTAAGTATTGATACAAAACACTGACGTTATGCAAAACATCTCAACTGCCTCCATCATCCTTCTCACTGCAACAGTTTCTAATAATAATAGTAATAATAATAATAATAATAATAATAATAATAATAATAATAATAATAATTAACTTTATTTCTACAAATACATGTTATACAGGCCTAGCTGACGACAGTACATACTATTGTTTAGATAGCCCCTTGTTATGCAGAGCTTTTCTGGGAAATTAGGTCAGTTTTGTCTCAGGATGCGACCCACACCAGTCGGCTAACACCCAGGTACCCATTGTTACTAATGGGTGAACATGGACATCCGGTGTAAGGAAACACACCCAGTGTTTGAACCCCTTCGCCGGGAATCGAACCCGGACCCTCATCATGTGAAGCGAGAGCTTTTGCCACCAGGCCACTGGGTACTGTTGTTATGCACCCCAAACCCATTCTATGGGCGGTATTCAAAAGATTACAGAGGTACATAATGGGCCCAGGGACTGTGCCCCCAAAGTTTTCATTGCTGAACAAGTTACAAAGGTAATGAACAATCTACATGCCACGATCATGAACAAATTACAAAGTAATGAGCCATACACACGTTCACACCCGGTCATAACTGTAATGAGTTATTAATGCAAATATTAATTAGGTCACACACACACACACACACACACACACACACACACACACACACACACACACACACACACACACACACACACACACAGGGGCCAGGAGCTGAGTTTTGACCCCTGCAACTACAATTATGTGAGTATATACACACACACACACACACACACACATACACATACACATACACAAAAGCACACACACCAGTTTGGAAACCACATCTAGCTAAGCACGTAAAGAAACTAGAGAAATTGCGAAGGTTTGCAACAAGACTAGTCCCAGAGCTAAGGGGTATGTCCTACGAGGACAGGTTAAGGAAAATCGACCTGACGACACTGGAGGACAGGAGAGATAGGAGGGACATGATAACGACATATAAAATACTGAGAGGAATTGACAAAGTGGACAGAGACAGAATGTTTCAGAGATGGGACGCAGCAACTTGGGGGACACAGTTGGAAATTGAAGACACAGATGAATCACAGGGATGTTAAGAAGTATTTCGTCAGTCACAGAGTAGTCAGGAAGTGGAATAGTTTGGGAAGCGATGTAGTGGAGGCAGGATAACGACATACAAAATACTGCGTGGAATAGATAAGGTGGACAGAGACAGGGTGTTCCAGACAGGGGGCACGGAAACAAGGGGGTCACACTTGTCTGCCTCTTGCAAACCCACTCGAAGGAAAGCTTTACTTAAGTCAGCCATAAAGGCATAATTCTTAACCCTGAAATTTAACAAAATATCCTATTTTTTCTGTCAGTGACGGAAATGTCATTACACAAGTCATTTAAACTTGGTACATTCTTACTACTACTAGCACTACAATTAAAAGCAATTCTTAAGGGGGTAGTTTTAGACTCCTCCTTAACTCCAAGGTGGGTAAGTAATGACCATAAATTTTTGCATGCTCAGGAGGTACCTCAACTATGAATTTATTCTTCAGCTGTCCATTAATTATATCATCATATGCAGTCAATAATTTTGGTGTCTTACTCATTTTGTGGAGCTGAGCCTTTAATTGCCCATATGCCATTCTATAAATTGTAGGCAATTCTGGATGATTCAACTTCAACGGGAGTCGCACCCAATATTGTCCAGATTCATACTTAATATTCTTTAGGTATTGTTCCTGAGTAAAGGTTCTAAAGTGACATCTTTTTTGGTTTATTTGATTTTACTCAGTAGCTCCTACATTTTTAGCTTAAAGTATAAGCCACATAATCATATTTGTTAGTCGTTAACAGTAATTATATTTAATTTTTGATAATTGCAACAGTTTAATTCTCAGTGGTGGGCACAGCTAACCGAAAAGTTAGCTTTTGCTAACCGCTAATCTTCTAACTAAAAAGTTAGCTCCACTAACGCTAAACGGCCGAAAAAAATTAGCGGAAACTAAAGCTAAACACTATCCGCTAACTTTTTCACATGAATTAGGATTCGGTTTAGATTTTTTGTCTTTTACTTTTTCTTTTAAGATTTTTAGAACAGACCAGAATGAATGTCAAGGTCATATGATGATCAAGTGCCGCTAGTGCGAAAATAGAAAATAGTGACTGTCTAATTTTGTGATGTAACGCGAACGACCGACAAGGACACACTTGTCGCTGTACTGAAGAATCCCATAGTTAGCTTATTTGGCTGTTTTCTTCATTAGTTCCAGTTACTCATTCTATTCGTTCATTTTATTCTGTTTCTGTTAATGTTTGCATTTAACTTAATTTAGATTTTGAACCCAATAAACTACAAACAAGTAGTTGAAAATCGTGCTTAAAGTTGAAACCTTGAGGTCAACATATTGCTACACCAGATGTTGCTGCGTTGGCAAGTCACGTTTACACATAGTCAGCCAATAGCGTGCCTAACTGATTGTTGGAAAAGCACCCACGTCAGACAGGAACAAATACGTGTGCCGTTGAAAAAGCATTGCTTTCCGACTACCAACAATGTATGAATTTTATTTAGCGGACTCAAAGTTAACAGAACTTTATTTAGCGGAAGCTAATTAGTCCGCTAATCCGCTAAACAAGAAGTTAGTTCCACTAATTAATGGTTAGCAGATTAACGGAATTGTGCCCACCACTGCTAATTCTCTATGTACCTTTTGTACATACTTATTTACATCCTACTTTACCCTTATGAATATAAATATCGATTCTCGTATTGACCTCTTATTAAACGGCACAAATAATCCTAACAGTGACTACTAGTCAGGCTAAAACTGTAATCAGTGCCAGCAAGAACATAAGAGTTTTCAACTATAATGTTAGATCATTGATTAAACACTATGATGACCTCCTTGCACTGCTTAAGTCTCTAAATGCTAATATAATTTTCATTATTCTTACTGAAACCTAGCTCAAACAAGACTTGACAGACATATTTACCATAACTGGTAACACAACTATATATAACTGCAGGCCTGACCAACCAGGGGGGAGGCACTGCTATCTAGTACTCTGTTGAACCTGAATGTATGAAATTTATTTGCACCAGGGACGACAAGGGTGATTATATAATAATTCTCATCAAAATTTAAATATAATATATATATATATATATATATATAATATATATATATATATATATATATATATATATATATAACAGTTTGAGCAGCCTACACATTACCATACACAAATGCCTACACTTGATAACCTTAGAAACATGATAACTGACTTAGTGTTGAATAAACACTACCAGATACTTCAACATAAACCTCATCCAAGCAGCTGACCCTCCAGTACAACTGCTTGCTACTACCTTCTATAAGCCAAGTTCCTCATTCCTTGACCATATCTGGACCAACACTATACCTCCACTACAAGCAGGTATAAGAGCAGCCAACACTACAGACCAGTACTCCACCTTTCTCATAACCACCTTATGTAAATTACCTCAAGACTCGAGTAAGATCTCTTTTTGCCTACATGATGAGTTATCAGTAAATAATTTAATATTAGCACTAAGTGACACTGACTGGCAGAGCACGCTAGCTGACAGCCATAATATTGACGAAGATGTCAAAACTTTTTTACATAAAACCCAAAACCTCTGTAAAATGCATTTTCCAATCAAACTGAAGCAGATCACAGCAAAGAGACTAAACAGCCTGTAGCTAACAAATAGTATCCTCAAATCCATTGATAAAAAGCACCAGTCTGAAAAACTGTTCAGATTAAGCTTGATAATTAAAGAACTGCCTAAGCGATCCACGTCAATGTTCACAAAACTGATAAGGAAATCAAAGCAAATGTATTATGAAAATAGAATTATTGCAATGAAAGGTGATATGAAAAGGACCTGGAAAACCCTCCATGAAATTTTGGGCCCTACAAAACTGTCTAGAAACAGAGAGATAAACTTATGTAAACCAGCTGCACCTCAGATGCAGCTTATAGGCACGGTCAACAACTTAATGTCATCTCTACTGTAGGATCACAGCTAGCAAGAAAAATCTAAAGTTCAAATACTGAGCTGAAAGACTGGCAACTACCTAAATACTCTATATCTAGCTCCAACAAATTCTACTGAAGGCTTACTCATCATTAAATCACTAAAAAACAAGGCAGGAGATCTAAATAACTTGCCACCATTCATATATAAAAAAATTATCTCATGTGCTGTCACCCATTACTGCCGCACAGTTTAACAAAGCTGTTGAGTCCTCAAGACAGCAAGGGTTACCCTTATTTTCAGTGGAGATGGTCCAACTGGTCTGAACAACTATAGATCTATATCAAACTTGCCCTTCTAAAATCTTCGAGAAAATAATACACAAATTACTTTACTCCTATCTTACATCCAACCTAACCTCTGCCAGTTTGGATCTGGATCCAAAAAAAGTACGAATGATGGTATTATACAAATGCTTGAACTACTATATACAGCCCTCGATAAAAATGAATATCCATTGGGGCTCTTTATAGATCTA